TTCCCTCTAATGTGCTTTAATGACAATGATCAAAAGCTTTGGGAGGAAGACCCACATGAATATGTGAGGAAAGGGTACAGTAAGTATTTTTAATAGTGACTTCCGTGAAAAGTCATAAATATATTATATTTATTGATGTTTGTTCTGCTGTAGATATCATTGAAGACCTGTACAGTCCGCGAACAGCGTCCATGGATTTTGTAAATGAATTGGTCCGAAAACGTGGGAAAGATAACCTTCCAAAATTTGTTCAGTTTGTTGTAGGGATCTTCAGAAGGTATTGCATTTCAGTTCTTCTGTTTAGACTTCTTCTCCCAGTTGTGTCTTATTGAGAACTTGTTTTTTCCACTGTTTATAGATATGACGAAGCTCCCGCAGAACATAAGCCTTATCGTCAAAAGGATGGTGCGATGCTTGCTGTTGGAGCTCTTTGTGACAAACTGAAGCAAACAGATCCCTATAAATCTGAACTAGAGCGTATGTTGGTGCAACATATTTTTCCTGAATTCAATAGCCCAGTTGGACATCTTAGAGCAAAGGTATTCATTGTTTTGTTTAACTGTATCATGGATGCCACAGCAATCCATGGTTGCCTTCATAGGGGTTTCTGTTTGCATTTCCACAGTCTGTTGCACTGCTTAATTTATTCGAGATCTTTCTGTATCATTGTATGTCCGGTATTTAGATATTTTATAATCTTTGGGGTCCCCTTGATCTGTTTAACAGTTGTTCTTTGTATATAGGCTGCATGGGTAGCTGGACAATATGCCCATATCAACTTCGCAGATCAAAACAACTTTCGTAAAGCATTGCACAGTGTTGTTTCAGGAATGCGCGATCCTGACCTCCCTGTCCGTGTTGATTCAGTTTTTGCATTACGTTCATTTGTTGAGGCGTGCAAGGGTAAAGTGATTTCTCCTGCACATTTTTCTGCATGAATGTGTATGCATCTGTTTATCCATGTGTGTTGGGTTCGTGTGGTGGCTAATTAAAATTTTCTCGTCGAGTTGGCAGATTTGAATGAGATACGTCCAATCCTCCCTCAGTTGCTTGATGGTGGGTAACCGTTGTATATGATAATTAGATGGTCAGTATCGTTTGAGTAAAATAATGCTATAACTTTATTGTGATCTGCTCCCTTCAGAATTTTTCAAGCTCATGAATGAGGTAGAGAATGAGGACCTTGTTTTTACCTTGGAGACCATCGTAGATAAGTTTGGCGAGGAGATGGCTCCTTATGCTTTTGGATTATGCCAAAATCTAGTAAGAAAATTGGTTCTATGATGAGTGTAGTTTTCTTGGATAATTAAACTTGGCAATACAGATGTTGTATTTATACCTCTCCTTTTGTTCAGGCGGCTGCATTTTGGAGGTGTCTAAACACGTCAGAAGCCAATGATGAGGCGGATGACATGGGGGCTTTAGCTGCAGTCGGTTGTTTGCGTGCCATAAGTACAATCCTTGAATCTGTTAGCAGTCTTCCTCAGCTGTTTGTTGAAATAGAACCAACTATACTTCCAATTATGCAGAAAATGCTGACCACTGATGGCCAAGGTAAACTGATGTAATACTTCTTGAGTTCTCTCGTTTAGCTCTGGTCCTTAGGATCTTATTTTGTGCACTCTGAGCATAACGAAGTTATAGATTTGTGTCCAGATGATACTTCTCGACTGATTTCTTAGCCATTGGAATTCATTCCATT